AGAATATAAACAAGCTTCTATTGATTATATTCACATATTTCAATGATATTGATAATTGAAAGAATTGATTGATACTCTAGTCCTATCCATTCCTTCAATTGAATTAACTTACAGATAAAGTTTCATAAAATTAATAAGATATAAGTAACAAGTCTTTAGATAATAAAAAAGCTACTGTTTGTTTAAACTAAAATCTTTTTTTTTTATTATTCTAATCAGATAAAGTTTAAAATCAAGGTTTTTTTTTTATTTTGATCAGGCAATAAGACTAAATGGTTTCTAGTTTATGCTAAGCTTCAACCCTTTGATTACAATTGAGAATACATTTATCTAAAAGTTGTTGAAGAATATTATAATTGATGAGGATTCTCATTAATATTCAAAACCCTCCTACTATTACAAGGCAAAAGAATTGTTGAGAAATCTGACCTTTTGGATAATGAAAAATATACATCAGTAAAATTTTTTTAACTAAGTATGACTACTAGAAGGTATCATACTAAAATAATATAGTTCAATTCTTATTGGGTCATATAAGAACCTGAAATTCATTATAAGTTATTTTTTTACTATAAGTGAATAAAAAATCATTATTCAAAGAAGGTTGAAACCAAGTATATTCTAAAAATAAAAGCTTCCACTAGACAATAAGTTTTCTCAGATAATATATAAAAAGAAAATCAAAATCAAGAATAAATAAGTTTCTTAGATAGTCAAAAGAAAAAAAGATATTTAAATCAAATATTTCTTATTGAAAAAAGATCTTAAGAAGCAAGTCTTTAAAGAAAGCTAGAAAATTTTTTTCAATTTTTATTTTTTTATTTTCTTGTTATCTACTTAAATATTTTTAGATATTTTTTTCCCTTTTTTTCAATCCATTCTTTTGTAGTTTCCTATATTTCAGTGGTTTGGTTAAACATATAGTAGTAACAATCTACTGGTAATAATGCAATGGACTAGAAGAGTTTTTATCCAAAAATACTGCAGAGCAAAATATTATTCTTAAAATCAAACTTAAAAACTTTTATATTTATGACAAGTTGATTAGATTAGAATAATAGTTTGGCTATAGTATGTATTATGCTACTCAAATGAAAATATATTTATGTTTTTAAATATTAATAAAGTAATGATCTAACTTAATCATATTATTTTTTTTTTATACTCTTTCTGCTGATTCTCTAACCATACACAAAAAAGATGTTTGCAAGAAGTTTTAATACTTCTATGTTAATAAAGTCTTACTATTTTCTTTAAACCAATCCAAAGAGTTCTCTTAAAATTCCTTCACCCTCCTTTCCTCTTGTCTACAATCTCCTTTGAACAAACTGAGCTCTCATGACTTCTAAAGTTCAACTTCCACCTTTACTACCTATAGCAAGAAAGTTCTTAAAGGGAAAAGGATCAACAGTGAAGTATTTTTCACCTTTTAGTTATGGTAGAGATAACAGAAATTAAAAATCAATCAAAGAACTCAATGTTTTATTCTTTAACTGGTATTGTGGCCTCTCAAAGCTATCTTTTTTATGACTTTCTGAAAAATTTTGCCTACTTCAGCTTGACTCTGAAATTTTGCGTAATATGGATCTTATCAACTCTAATTGATTGATGTAAAACATGTTGAACAAGATTGATAAACAAGCTCCTATTGGTCACCTGACGTGTCTGAATATATTTTCTCAGCTCTATAAGAATCTGGGATCCATTATAAGTCATATTGTCTGGTACAGGTAGATATAAGCATGGTATCAACATATCATTGAATACAAGAAAGAGTCCATTTGATTATGGTAAAGGTCACAAGATGCTTAATTGACTTTTTAGAAATCAGAGCCACCTATTTTTGAGTGTATGCCAGGTAGGTTTCCACTTCTACTGCTTGAAAAGGTCCAATCAGAAAAAATGAAGAAGATAATCAAGAACACTTATTGGTAAAGCTAGTATGCATAATAAACTAGAAAGTTTTCATCCTATATCCAAAAAATCTCAACCTAGAAGACTGGAAGATTAATATCATTATACCAATTGAAACTTGAGTCTGAAAATGTCAGCAGTGATGTGTGAGCCAGCCAGATAATCTGGGAGATCCTTGATAATCATTAATACCAATGGTTACCAGTAAGGTATACCAACCATGAAGCTAGATGCAATCCTTCTATAAGGAATTAAATCTGAAATATATTGCATAGATGGGTAAGTATATGTATATTTAGATAGAAATAGATTTAATTGATGATATATTGGAAGACTTTCAAGTCATTTATGCAAACATCAATATATCACCTAGATCTTCTTGATTACTTCCTTCCTACAAGTCTTAAAACTGTAAAATCTTTCTTTTCATTTTTATCTTATTTTCATAAAGACTCAGGAGAAGCTTTCCTGAATTTCCATTAAAAGGGAAATTCAAAAACAGAACAGACATTTGTTAAGAAACACCACTGTTACTTTTGCAAAATAGCATATGACCACTTCTTTTATTTTTCTATTATTTTTTTTTTTCAATAACACCTGTATGCTTAATGGAATATAGATTTCTTTGTAAAAAGAGGATAATAAGTCTTGAAGTAGCTTTAGCTTATCAAATTCTTTATTCACCCCTGAATATACACCCCTGTACATGTGCATTGTACAACTATATAAAATGTAATTTGAAGCTTAATAAAGATTAGGCATGAGTTCATTTAAAAAAAAAAAAAAAAAAATGATCTAGCTTAATTATGGGCACTTAAAAAAAAGTAAAAGATTGTTTAGATAATATATATATATTAAATTTTGAATTTTAATAAATTTGATTTGTCAAGTAAGTTTTATATTGACTTAATTACTTTTTTTAAAAAATAAATCAGTATATACAGTACATATATTTCTAATACTGTATATCAGTGTAACCTAATATAATGTGCTAATTGACGTTCTTTTCTTTAGCTCGCGTCTAGATATGCCCTTTTTCTTTAGATACGTACATCCAATCCTGCGTACAGTTAGCATCGCACTTAGGGTAATTTGCGCTACACATGTCACAAATGAATATTTTATAGAGATTACTCAGGTATCTTAAAGAAAACTCGTAATTTATACGCGATACAGTCATCTTATATTTACTGTTAAATATTATGTAAAGTGCATGGGCCCCTCGATGCTTCCGACTTTTAATATGGTTGGAGATTTCGTGGCATTAGAACGTATTAGTCCTCGTTTGCGGCGACTTGAAATTGGTGATGTAATAGTATGTGTATCTCCTACAAATCCGTCGAGATCTGTGTGCAAAAGAATAATAGGCATGGTAAATTTTATACACGTCGATTTTTGCGCAAGTTTACTTGTATTATGCGAAACTTCATTCATATAATAATTCAAAGCACTTTTTTTTTTAATAACAAAAAACAACAACAATAATAATAATAATAATAATTAGCCTGGAGATCGAGTGTGCGTTGACCCGACGGCTATTCATCGAAAATTTATTACTGTAAGTACTTAATGACATGAAACTTGACCATTGCTTATTATTCATCTTTGTCTTATCGCATAAGGTACCCCCTGGTCACGTTTGGATACAAGGAGATAATATGAGCAATTCTACCGATTCTAGAAACTACGGCCCCATTCCTTATGCATTGATTGGAGGAAAAGTATTTGCCAGAGTAAATCTAAAATCAGCCTTCACTTACCCACGAAACCACGATTGTATTTCTAACGAAACACTCTTTCCATAGGTCTGGCCAGATCCGTGTTGGATAAAGAATGGTGTGATAACCCTCGAGGAGCATTAAATTAAGAAAGTATCTGAAAGAAGGGCATCAGTTTACCCTAGTATTCTTATTTGTTGACGATGGATTTTATATAATCTAGAAGAAAAATAAAACTTGCAAGTCCAAATATGCGACAAAAAAGAAATTAAAAAACAGATTAAAAAGCAAAATTGGTGCCTATCTACAAAGTGTTATTAAGATTGAGCACTGATTACGAATACAAATAAGTGATTCTATCTAGAATCCAGACATTCGCAAAATCCGACACAATAAGGCGCGTTGATTCACCTAATTTTTTGGAGAAACGAATGGATTAGAGATATCATCCTGAATGCAATATCCCAGGAAGTTTGCCATTGATTTCAAGTATCCTTCGAGTAAAGCATGTGAAATTAAAATAAGTTAAATCACGGCGTCTTCATTTTCCCTTTGTGATCAGCAGCACTTGGTGTTCCCCATCTGTTCGGAATCAATATTATCAACAAAAAATTAGAAAGTTGTTAACACTAAATAAAAATTAGCATATATCTTACATCCGAATGGTATTATCGTCACCAGCAGACGCAAACATATATGGGTTTGTAGGGCTCCAATTAACGCTATTGACTGCTCCTTTGTGACCTGACAAGATTTCGAGGGTGGTTGTATTTTCACGGTGCCACACGTAAATTCTGGAGTCTAAAATTTAAAGAATTAAAAATTAAGAATTGAAGAAATCAGGATGTTCTTTCGATACCAATGCACTAACCTTCACTACCACTGATAATAAATCCTTGATTTATCCCGCCGAAGCAAGATCGGATGACAAATTTTCCCTGCTTTTGACCATAATACTTTCGTACTATTTGCCTTTTTTCAATATCCCATAAATGAATTTCCTACCGTTTCAGAATGTTTGCATGAATTAATAGTAAATCAACGAGACTGTTAGAAGAGATAAGCCTTACCCTTGTAGAAAGATTTACTAATGCGTATTTGCAATCATTTGAAAGACAGATGGAAGTAAGTTTGGCATTCTCGTCCAATGTACTGGTAAAATTTAATATCACGTCAATTGACCGAGAATTAAGCCCGAATTACTTAACACTACTTCATTACATACGCTTCTTCCTTTTTTGTTTCAAGATTATATATATGCAACTTTCCGTCATGACAAATCGCCACCATTTTAGTACCTTCTTTATTAATTGCTAAGTCAACTATTCGAGCACCGGTCCACTTATCTATGATCACCCCATCCAGGTTCTATTTGAAAAGGCGGGCATCAATATCATACTGCAAAACGAGATTATACTGAATTAAGATTATTACCCATAAGTAAATATTCTTGTCCTGACTACCCGATATAAAACTTTTCCCATCTGGCAGCCACGCGCAGGTGGTCACTGGTTCAGTATGTTTTTTCATTACTTTCAAACATTCACCTGACTAGAAATTAAAATTGCACCAATCAATTCACGATAAATAAATAAATATCATTCAGAAATACGGATCATCAGTACCTCTACACTCCAAAGTCTTATCTCATTGTCTTGTCCACAAGTCAAAATCTTAGTATCATCTGGAGACCAAGATAAGAAACAGACAAAATCCAAATGATCTTTGAGAACATGCACCAAACTCTTGGTCTAATGATTTAAGGTGCCAAATTGAGTCACATCAAATAGGAAAAAAAAAGATAACACTAAAGATGCATTTAACCACATGATACCTCAATGCTCCATATGATGGCCGTCTTGTCTCTAGATGCCGATGCTAAGAATTTCCCATTATTTGAAAACGCAACATACCAGACTTCGTCGGTGTGTTGTATGAATGTGTGGGTTGTGACAGAAGGAAATTGTGAACTGTTCGTATGGTTAATAATTAGGTTTGTAAATGTCACATATAAAATCCAGTAAAACATTCAGGCTAAGTGACCTTTATTATTGATTACCTATCGCAAATATGATCAGAATATAACGAGATGTATTCGTCGGTGTTGTGATATAGGCAAGACATACGTTGCGAATCAGTGGCTTGTTTGAGTAATGTTTCGAGACGATGCTCGGGCACCATTATGGATGGTGAAATGTATCCTTTTTAATTATATTTAATTGGTAAAGAAATATCGAATAAATTTTTCAAAACACTATTAACTATGTTGATTCACATACTTTGTAATTGAAGCAATAACTTTTGACGCGACGTTCCGAAAGCACCATCCCATTCTGCTCTACGTTTTAAATCTTCTATATTAGAATACATCATGAAACTGTTGATAATTGGAAGATCAAGATTAGAAAAAGAAAAATCAAATCAATTATGAAAGGTTGAATGCTCAAATACCTTGCCAAAATATGAAGCCTCTCGGTATTAAACGCAAGTGGTGTAAGTTCACTCCTTAATGTGTACAAAGCTAACTTAATTTCTCTTTTCTCTAGAAATTCTAAATATTTTTGTTGGCGGATCAAAAACTGCACAACCTAAGAGATTATTACACAAATGGAATTAGATTCACGAAAATTTTCTCGGAAGTTCGGATTGAACTTACAATAATGTCTTTGTTTTGATCTAATTCCAATGTGGAGAAAAGGTTCTCTACCAAATCCCAATCTCCATTTAATACCCCCTCTCTAAATTTGGCGACTGCAGGACTTTCAAGAGGAAAACCAGATTCGCTCTCGAGCAAGGCCGCAGATTTACTAAAATTTCGAATTCGAAGTTAAAATACTATGAATATTCATAGCAATAAAGAATTTTAACTGATGTAAATTAACTAGCCTATATCCCATATCCTGCATCGCTTGAACCATGAGTCTAACAAGCTCTTGTTGACGATTATTTGCCATTTTAGTGAACTCCGAAGTTTTACCATTAGTTGCAATTGGTAAATTTCCATTGCTAGTTGGAGAGACTCCATTCGTACTATTTCCAACACCATTTTCCTTCTTGTTGATCCTCATTGTCGGCCTTCTAGTAACAGGAAGTCTTGCGATACGTGGACGTTTTGGTAGGCGTAAATCTGAATCAGAGTCGCTAGGCCGCAAATAATCGTTCTCTACTTCGTCTCTGGGGTGATAGCCGCTAGATTGACTCTGCAATTCGTCCGTGGGATTAGAGGAACTTGAATTGGAGGGTGAGGATATGTGCGATGACGAAGCAAAATTGAACGGCAGTGAGACTCGTTCTTCGTTGAAAGAACTGATCACTGTGTTATGCGAGGAGGTCTGAGAGACTGCAGCAGAAGCACTTTCTAGTAAGCTGCGTAACGAGAATTGGTGAGTATCGCTGTTGACAGAATTGCCTCTGCTACTATCTCTTCCAGGTTGCAAGTCGCGTTCCAGGATGGGTAAATGTCGAAAGGCACACCCTCAAGTGCGCCAAATATTGAAATATTTTAGTAATGTAAGGGAATATGTGTTTCAAATTAATAGATAAAGGGTTGTTATCGGACAGTTGAACCACAAGCGAGGACCAACTCGGTAGTCAGTGATTACTAGGTCGGCGTCAGCTTTGGAAAAAATAAATTAGGAAATTTTATGACTAATTGAGGGAAAACTTCGATAAAGTCCACTAAATGTACAAATGAACTTCTAGAACAACAAGATATAAAGAAGAAAAGAAAAAAAAAAAAAAAAACTCGAATGTATGAAGAATTTGTCGAAATCTTATTAATCCGTTTGATCTTTTTATTCTACCTTGTGGCATATACGTCATATATAATCGGATATTTTGTATTTGGCGCCTCGAACATTACACATGAACTTTTACTAAATTTCAACACGTGATAATTTTTCGGCCTGCGGATATATTTGAATATGTTTGGATTCCCTAAAATTGTGTCGCATATATGTGCGTAAAATTGGGGGGGGCTTTTTTAAGATGCATGATACTGTATATAAGATATTTTTAAAAAATTTTTTAATTGTTAATTTTTTAAAAAAATTTTGATTAAAATTGATTAAAAAATAATATATTTTTATTTAGACATTAATAGAACATCATTATTGTTAATTGATTTTCACATTCATCTTTGTATAAAAATATATTATTTAAAAGTTTACTAAGCTAGCTTAAATTAAACAAACCAAAGTTTTAATTAAATACTTTAAATCAAATTTAAGAAACATATATTAATATATTGATATTTTAATTTCTATTTATTAGAATTATTGCTAAAAGTTTGTTAATTAAATATATTAGAAAAGAAAAAAAATAATAATAATTCAAAACTTTTTTAAAAGGTTTTTATTTAATCAAGTTAGCAATTTTTTTAAAAAAATTTATATTTAATTATAATATTCTTCTTGTTTTATACTATTTAAAAAACTTTTTATTTTTAAATTAATAAGTTTTTTTAAAATTTTTTAAAATTTTATTTTTCTATTAATATATAAATTTAATTATTAAATCAACATCATAATATAGATTTTTTTTAAAAATTCTTTTTATTAATTTTTTAATTATATATAAATAAAATATACTGTGATAAAAATAATCTCTAATACTATTGGATATTTATTTTTAGTCATGATCTTCATTCTATTTCTATTTTTATCTATTTATTTATAATTATTTCTTTAATATTCTTTGATATTTTTATTAATACTTAATTAGTATAGATATTTTATCAAATATAATACGTAATATAATTTACTATAGATCAGGTGGCCCAGAAGATTTAGGAGATCTAGAAGACACAAGTGATTCATTTTTACAAGTATATAAGTAGTCATAATTCTCTCAAAAATAGGATAAGTTTGGATATAACTTTATTTAACTTTGAAAGTTGGTAGATAACTTTATTTTGATTTCTTGAAGATTGGATATCTTCTCTTAATTTTAGGACTAAAGAAATTGTCTTAGTTTTCTTGATTTATTAATAAACTTGGATTCCGAGTAAATCATATTTCTTGTGAAATACCATATAACACTGTTTAAAGGATTCTTGGTGAATCTATTCTTGAATATTTATTTAATTATTATGAACTGCTTCTTTAATTCTTTCTTTGGGAATTGTCCTTTTAAAAGGAATTTCATTTAGATATATCAATCAAATATAATTTTGATCATATTTTGGTGATGATAACAGGACCTTGCTCTTCAAAATGGACATTGGAATAGAATTAATTTTTTTTGAAAGAATAATTAAATAAATAACAACTTTGATAACTGAATTCCAAAATTATTACTAGATTTTGCAACTACTTATCCTAAATATTTTCTTAAAACTCCATCTTTTTCTTTTCCAATCCACTCTTTAAATACTTTTAATCATAACCAATATAATGCAATCTATTCTTCTACACTACCTTATAATTTAACAATGGATAATATTTTTTAGGACTTTTGGAATCAAGCAAACCATTTTTATAACTTGAATCAATCTTGAAATAGGTATCCCTTATAAGATCAGGATAATAATGAGAAAAGTAATGGATAAGTGAAATATAATAATAACCATCAAGACAACAAGGAGGATGAACAACAATCACTACTATACAGGAATAAGTCAGGTCAAAGGCAAAGAAATGAGTAAAGGGAGAAGTAACAAAATCAATCTATCTATAATCATGGGTAAAATAATGATCAAAATTTTATCAATATATTGTGACAACTTTCTGAATCAATTGCTGGAATAAATACACCCAGAAATAATAACCAAAGAGAAACAAAACTAGTGAATATATCAACTTTTGAAGAAGGGAAACAGGATTCTCTTACTTGGCTCAATAAATTTGATGAAGTATGCAGAGCAAATTGTATTAATAAACAGCACAAATTTATAATTCTTCTTATTTTAAAGAAATTGTATACATTTAGTGATCTTCTATGAATAATTAAATTGATTATTGGAACAATGCAGCACATCCAGCTGAATCTTTTGTATATTAATTCCATGCAACTTGATATACTACTCATTACAAATCAAGATGAATGAATCAATTAAGACAGTAATACAAAAATCAGGAGAAACTATAAATAAATACCTGAATACAATAACTCTTTTTTACAAATGCATTAATCCTGATAACAATTATCCTCTTGAGGATAAAATCAAGCAATTCATCAATGGATTAAGGAATAAATTGAGAGAACTAGTTGAAATTTCTTGTTCTCTTAACATGACTGAAACTATCAACAATGCTCATGCTATTGAATCAGTCTACTCCAGGAATTTTACTGAGTGCTTATTTTTTGAGACACAATTACTTGAACCAGAATATTAATGAGCTCAAAAATGTTAAAATAACAATTACTCAACTCTCTCAAGGATTTCAACAATTGGCTACTTCAACTAATAGGAGGTATAATAGCAACAGTAATAATAATAGCAATATTAGGGGAGAAAATCAAAGGGAAACTTGTATTTGCAAAAATTGTGAAAAAGTTGAACACTTGCAACACAACTGTAGATCATGCCACAACAATAATAATAGCAACAATGGAAACAATAGCAATAACTTTAGGAGGCTCTACAACAACAACAATAATAATAATAAGAATTAGTTCAACAATAATAACAATGAAAGAAGATATTTTATTTGCAATCAATCTGGATACTTGGCTAACCAATGTTCTCAAAGAAATGTCAACAATTCAGTGAATAGAAATGGATTTAGTAGCAACTAATCATCTTCTAGTAACCAATCCAACAACTGCAATCAATGGCTCAATATTTTTATACAGGACTTTGCTGATACTGTGAAATAAGTAAACTATCATTTAAAAGATTAAGAGGACCTAAGGAGGATTAAAAATCTCCTATACTTTCAAATCCCTTTACTTCAATATCTCTTCTACCTGAACAAACTGAACAAATCAACCCAAAAGCTGTGGAAGCATTGTATTGTGATGCAAAAATTGATAACTATCTCATCTATTTAATTATTGATACTAGATCAATAAGCAGTATTATTTATAAGCCATTTTTGAACTCTTTGGGATATACTATTCATAAACTATTTTATATCAATCTGGTAGACATAAATAAAGGAAAAAAATAATCATTGGTCAATGTAAAGGATTTATCAATTACTATCAAAGAAATTACTATACCTATTACTAATGATGGATTTCTAAAATATTTAGTATATAAAATTTGGCAGATCACTTATGTCCTTTTTTGAAAAACAAAATTCATAGATCTTTCCTTTAATAGGAATAAAAATCAAAAAATGTTATAAATTAATAATTTGGATAATGGAGAACAATTATGGATAGTTTTTTTATATTTATTAATTTAAAAATTTTAATATTTTCTAGTAAGGAACATTCGACTTTTGTTCCTGTCTCCCCCTTAGGAACCTATCTTTACCTGTCACTAAAAATGGATCCCTAAAGGAGGAGGTAAGGACAAAAATCAAATATTTCTTACTTTAAACTTTAAAAATTTTAAATTAATAACTATAAAAAAACTACTTACAATTGTTCTTCATTATTCAAATCATTGATTTATAACATTTTTTGACTTTTGTTCCTATTAAAATGAAGAGCTATAAATTTTGTTCCTCAAAAAAGAATATAAGGGATCTGCAAAATTTTATATGCTAAATACTTTAGGGACCCATTATGATCTATTACTGTGGATATGTCTAAATCAACTCAATATACTGTTATTATAAAAAATGATCGAATTATAAAAATCAAAACTATTATCAATTATGACCATCAAATCATAAACTTGAATTATTTAGGTAAAAATATTTAATGCAAGGTTATATGTTGGGAAAAACCAAAATTTAATGATAATGGAAGGTCTATAGAAATTAAACCTTTGGATAAGGGAAAAGAAAAAAAAATCTATGATTCAATTGATGAATTAGAATATGAAAAAACTTTGGATAAGGATTAAACTTACTATACATTTTTGAAGAACTCTAATGAACAACCATTAGTGAAAATTGATAAATCAATAGTTACTATTGGATAGTATAAAGAATTAATAACTTATATCCAGGAACTTGAAATTATGCAACAACCATTCTTAACTTCTAAACCTCTGCAAAAGAAATAGAAAGAATCAAAAACAATCCATTGGTGTGATTATTACTTGAGCCGAAATCTGATACTTGTATCACTTATCAACTCAAAGTCAAGGATTGAAAACTTATTCAATACTTAAATGTGAATCATAAAAAGGAATCAGACAAACCACCTGATTTAACCCAGAAACAACAAAATCAATTTAACCATTTGATACAACAATATCAGAATACATAGTAATTGCAACTAATGACTCACCTGCTGGATGCACTGACTTGATCACTCATCACATTATTATTGAAAACACTTTATCAATTAAATAGTTATTTTATAGAATATCTCTTGTTGAACATGAATTTATGAAAAAAAAATTGAATACATGTTGGCTCAAGGAATTATTCAACTATCTTATAGCCCTTGGACTTCTTCAATTGTATTGATTAAAAAGAAAATGGTCAAACAAGGTTCTGTGTTAATTATCAGAAGCTCAACAAAGTTATCAAAAAGGATGCTTACCCACTATCTAGGATTGATAAAATTTTTGACTTACTAGGAAAGGTCAAATGGTTTACTTCTTTGAATATGACTAGTGAATATTAACAAATTGAAATAAATTTAATGGATAAAAAAAAAACTGCTTTCATCATCAAACAAGAAATTTTTGAATTCAATGTCATGCCTTTTAAATTAATCAAAGCATTAGTTACTTTTCAATAACTTAT